TTTCCGATGTTCATCGGATAAGACTTTATAACCGTTTTATTTATCAGTTTAAAATTTGAACGGTTTTCAGAAAATCAAGTTTTTCACGGTAGCATCCCGATCAGTTTTCGCTAAAATTAGTATCTTATTTATTTATTCAGAAAATTTGCAAAAAACCGCGCACTCTGATGTATTTCAAATAGCGGGGTGTTACAGCTTGGTATCAGAGCGCGTTTTTGCGTCTTTGAAAAGTTTTTCAGTCAGAAATTTTCAAAAATTTTCAGAAAAACCTGAACCGTCACGCTCACGCCTCGCCGACACCAGGTAAGTGCTGATTCAGTTTTTCAGTTATAAACATATTACTTTGTCTATGCTCAGAAATCAGTAATCAGACTTAAGTTAAGATGCTCAATTAAGATTCAGACTTTAGGGTTCAGATATAACTCTAGAAATCAGTGCATTCAGACTTGACTTTAGAGATCAGTATATTCAGGCATGACTCTAGACTTTAGTATCTTTCGATACAACTCTAGAGTCCCTCAGGTTTCATGTCAGTATTTATCGGCCATTTTTGGCTACTCGTCAAGAGATTTGTGTGCCTCAGTAATCAGTCAGAATATCATCATGTTCAATAATTCTGAATTCCTTTCAATGTTCAGATGGCACCAACTCAGGCTACCGTGGTCGCTCAGTTCCGCGATTACCATGCCGAGAAGTTCTCAGGGCAGGGAGACCCTCGCATAGTTGACGAGTGGATTCAGGGCCTGGAGTTTATCTTCGAGGTCATGGAGTGCCCTGAGAGATATCGCGTCATTTGCGCTCAGCTTCAGCTCACCGGAGATGCTAGGCTCTGGTGGAACGCTTACTGGGGCATGCGCCCCGGTGAGAAGGCGGGATGTACGTGGGAGATGCTCAAGGACTTGATCCGTGAGAAGTACTATCCCACATACTACCGAGCCGAGATGGAGCGCCAGTTTCTATCACTCCGGCAGGGTACTCGCACTGTCGACGAGTACGAGAGAGAGTTCACGAGACTTGCAGCTTTTGTACCTGATCTGGTCCGCACGGAGGCCCAGCGAGCGCAGCGTTTCATTGACGGGCTTTACCAGCAGTCCGTCATAACATCGTAGGCCACGGGACACAGACGTATGCTCGTGCAGTCTCCATTGCTCAGGAGGTGGATGCTAGCCTTAGGAGGGAGGCCGTTCGTGGTCAGTCGTCTTCAGTTCCACCGCCGTCAGCTTTGCCATCTACCCAGCCGCCCAAGAACAACAAGAGGAAGGATAAGGGTGCCCAGACAGATAAGAGGGCCCGGAAGAAGCTTCAGCAGGTTCCACAGTGCCCGAACGACATCACCGAGGCGAGTGTCGCTTTGGTCAGGATGTGTGCTTCTATTGCCATGAGCCCGGACACTTCGCGAACCGTTGTCCGAAGAAGGGGCAGCAGGCTCAGCAGCCACCGCAGCAGCAGCAGCCCCGTCAGCAGGCACAGAGGCAGCCCCAGCAGCAGCAGCAGAGGGGCAGACAGCAGGCCAGGGTTTATGCCATTGATCAGGCAGAGGCCGAACAGCAGCCAGGTACCATGTCCGGAATGGTTATTCTTAATAATGTTCCTGTATTCGCTTTGTTTGATACCGGGGCAACGCATACCTTCATTTCACGACGATGTCTTGATGCCATCGGAGTTCGCGCTACTACTGCTATCGATCCTCTCGAGGTGAGTTTGGCCTCGGGACAAAAGAAAGTGACTTCAGCTAAAGCTTCAGATCTTAGCCTTTCCATCGGTGGCCGAGTTTTGCCTACCGACGCGTTTGTTCTCGAGATGAAGGACTTCGACCTTATTCTCGGAATGGATTGGCTATCCTTTTTTCATGCAGATATCAAGTGTCATGACCGGGAGATTACTCTCTATCTTCCGAGGGATGAGTCGATTACTTTCTTCAGCTCCAGAAACCGTTCTTTGCCTCATGTTGTTTCAATGGCGAAAGCCACTAAGTTGCTGAGACGAGGCAACTACCAGGGTTATCTGGTGAGCCTCGTTGATGATTCTCAGAGAGCACGTTCACCTTACGATGTTCCAGTCGTTCGAGAGTTTGTGGACGTATTCCCAGACGAGCTTCCAGGAGGACCGCCCGATCGACAGGTGGAGTTTTCTATAGACCTTATTCCGGGGGCCGGTCCAGTATCCAAAGCCCCGTACCGTATGGCGCCTAAGGAGTTGCAGGAGCTTAAGGCGCTGATTCAGGAGCTGTTACGACTCGGTTTCATCCGACCGAGCGTGTCACCTTGGGGAGCACCCGTTCTCTTTGTTAAGAAGAAGGACGGATCCATGCGCATGTGTATCGATTACCGGGATCTTAACCGGTTGACGATCAAGAACAAGTATCCGCTTCCCAGGATCGATGACTTATTTGATCAGCTGAGGGGAGCCTGTGTGTTCTCAAAGATTGATCTTCGATCAGGCTATCACCAGCTGAAGATCAAGGAGTCAGATATCGCTAAGACCGCTTTCAGGACTCGTTACGGCCATTACGAGTTCGTAGTCATGCCATTCGGTCTCAGCAATGCGCCAGCAGTTTTCATGGATCTCATGAACCGTATCTTCCATTTATACCTCGATCAGTTTGTTATTGTCTTTATTGACGATATTCTTGTCTACTCGAAGAGCCAGAAGGAGCACGAGGAGCATCTGAGGGTGGTTCTTGAAACCCTCAGACGAGAAAAGTTGTTTGAAAAATTCTCCAAATGCGAGTTCTGGCTCCATCGAGTATCCTTTCTGGGTCATGTGGTTACTCAGGCAGGTATCGAGGTGGATCCTTCCAAGGTTTCAGCTGTTCAGAACTGGTCGACACCGAGAAGTCCGTCCGAGGTTCGCAGTTTTCTCGGTCTAGCTGGATACTATCGCAGGTTCATCGAGGGCTTTTCCAAGATTGCCCTCCCCCTATCCCA